CATACACACACACACACACACACACACACACACACACACACACACACACAGACGTGCACGCCGGTCATGGCACCCCTGCTAGATTTCTCAAGGTAACACCCTCAAAATCACGCTCAGACACCCAGCCCTTTTCAAACGGCCAGCAGCAACCTCCATATAATGAGAAGAACTCAACGGCGTCGCGTGAAAGATATTGACGTGAGAGTTGCACTTCAAGGGAGGCGCCCTGTCTAAACTTACATCAAACTTTGGTGACGCGTTTGCACTAGAGCAGGGTCGTTTTCGTGCGTGGTTAGACTAAAGTCGTGGTTACAACTGTTTAGAAAAAAATAGTTTTAATCGATAAATATAAATTAGTGCATAGTCTTTTGTGGAAATTATAGAACCGAGATTAAACTGGTGTTAGTTGGGTTTTATTTTCACAAAGAAAAAGAAAATATTTGTTGGATTAATTTGCGTTCTTTTCTCCTTGTTGGATTAAAGATACAGTGGAATATTTCAGCACTGAATAATTACCCGGAGAAGTAAGAGAGGTGAATCTCTGGAAAGAGTTATTTGGGTTTTTTTAAATTGTGAACTGGTGAAAACAAGTCATTATCTGATTATTTGGACGGTGGAATAGCCAAGGCCCTTTCGACTTTTTAGGAATACCAAGACACTTGTTGGAGAAGTTGTCAGAGTGTGCAGCAAGTTTCGATCATGGCAACATGCTGCAAAGTGGCAGTTATTGTTGTGAATGTACTTATGTTGGTACGTATGTATGTGTTTAATGTATATTTCTTTGTTTGTCTTCTTTGTTCATTTCTCTCTGCCATGCTCACATACTTAGTCTATTTGTTATACATTGATATGTGATATAAAATGTATTATTTGAGTGGTAACAAGATTTAGTTTCCCTTTTTTCCTTTTCAAAAAATCATTCTAGAAGAAATACCCAGATACTCTACAACATTTCTCCCCACTCGAGACTCGAACCTATGGGCTCTTCTTGTACATGCAACAATCAAGCACCAAAACGCTATACGCATCAGACGCCAGGTTGCAGTCTCTACCAAACATAGAATGTTAAAATTCAAAACCTGCTGGGTCACCAAATTCTACAGCAGTGACAACAGTACCGTGAATCTTACCAGTGGGTGGTTAGCGGCTGCCTTGATGTGGTCTGCTCTTTTTTTCCTGTCAAACATCAATCGTTCTGATTTCTCCTCGTTTTTGTTGTGTTTGTTTCTCTCTTGTAACGCCTCAAATCTTCGGCACTCATTGCGTTGCAAAAGCCGAAAAACGCTTACGAAAACTAAATGAGAAAATTACCATGATTTTAAAAAAGCATATAAGACCCCCCCCCCTTTTCCCCCTCCCCACCTAATTCCTTAAATCACTATCGTAGTATTGCTTGTAGTTTCCGATACAACGTTCCCCTGAGTCGCGCACATTAATCAGAGATAAGGCGGCATTGTCATTGTGTCGGTCTATCTTGTACGGTTTAGTTATGGAACCCGAGCCTTCTTAGTGATCCACAACTAGTTATACATGTACTATATATTATACGAGACTGATAGACAGACAGATAGATAGATAGATAGATAGATAGATAGACAGACAGACAGACAGACAGACAGACAGACAGACAGACAGACAGACAGACAGACAAATAGATAGATAGATAGATAGATAGATAGATAGATAGATAGATAAAGCCCGCTGCCTTACACACATAACTGTAATAGAGATATTTGTACTATTTACTCAATAGCTTTCCTGTTGATATATCGATTTATAGCCTACACCATACCTTATACTTGGCGGAAATGGGGTTATTAGAATCTTTGAGAACGGCGTCATACCGCGACACAGGAGGTGGTCTCAGTCGGTATGACCACAATTATAAGCTTGTGTATGTGTGTGTTTTGTTTGTTCGTTTGTTTGTTTGATTGTTTGTTTGTGTGTTTGTTTGTTTATTTGCTTGCTTTGCTGTGTTTTTGTTGGTAGGGGGGTGGAGGGGGAGAGTGTTTGTTTTGCTTGTTCTGTTCTGTTTATAATTTTTCATAATGTAGGTATTTTACACCTCTATAGACACTAATTAGACCAACTAGGGGGCGGGTTTCGACCTTGGCTTTCAGGTCCAGGTGAATAACCCAGATACTTGGTCAAAATAAATCTCCCGGCACCAGAATCGAATTCACTTCTTCCGAGCGCGACAGCGAAGCGCCTCATTGCTACACCACAGACGCGGGTTATTACTGTGCCTACCTGAGTGTTTCAGGTCAAGTACGAGATAAAACTATTCCCAAATATTGTTTGTAAATTTGCTCTTTACAAATCAAAAGTGTTTGCCCATGACCACCTAAAAGCATTTTATGTTTCATCCATTAAAGCCCGGTGCACATTAGGAAACTTCCACTAGCCACCGCGAGTATGCAAATGACGCAGATGCCGCCTGTTTGTACTCGTATAATAACAATAGCATTTATGCAGCTCTTAGGCACGCTCTACGGCATACTCTATGCGCTTTTACACCAATTATTACCCAAGTAGACCTTAGATGACTCAGAAATATTCTCATCTTCTAACTGACAAGAACTTTCACCGTCCGGATACCCATTCCCGCGAGTGACGTCATACTTCGTAGCGTGTGACCCGTATTCCCACCCAAAAGTGCATAAAGTACGCCCGTGAGTAAGCAGGAAACACATGCCTACTCTGTACTCATGAAGCAGCTGTTAGCATAATAATAACAATAGTTTGCTGCACTGTCAATGGCTGGGGAAGACTAATGATTCTGAAATGGAGCATAACATTATTGCTCAAGTGGAGTAGAAGTATTAGAGGTTTCTTGAAGTTTCTTCTATGGCCAAAGACACCAATTATGGAAGATAACAGTTTGCCACATTTTGGAGCAGTTAAAAGCTCCCCTTCCTCTTGCGGATATGTGCAGCTTACGGGCTTCTCTTTTGGTTTCAGCATTTATCTTTATTCGTACGAAGCCTCAAATGACTTGTTGCACACTACAACTGCTGCTTTTCTGTTTGGTCTGTCCGAAGATAGGACGTCAGCATGTTTATGTCTCTCTCACTTGTATTGTCTTTTATTTATACCTTGATAAGTGGACTTTCCGTTGGTTCAAGTGGTATCATGTTCGACTATGTCCCTGCTTTGAATCTCCGACTGGAGGATCTCTTGAACTTACAACTTTTGTGAAGTTGTATTCACATTCACGCTCTACGGCATGCTCTATGCACTTCACAACTGGCGATTGCAACTCTATAGTTACAGTCGAAACTAACAGTAAGAATAACATCATAGTGCTGAAAGTGGTGCTTACCCGTACAGTTACTTATACCTGGATAAGGTTGTTAAATATTTGAAATATTATTTTCTCCATCCGTGTCGCGACTGTTATTTCCGTGTCGTTGTCGTTGTCAAGCTAACATTTTTATCGCGAACATAGAGGCGAAAAACAGATACCGCTTTGTCGGCGCTAACAGGACTGAGATACTAGTGTGTAAACAGGACTTGGCATTCCCCGTGACGGTTGTAATGGGCGGGTACAATGGCTTTGTTGACTCTGGAGATACCACTTGAATAGTATGTAGTGTGGTACAAGGTATGTTTGGGGTGTGAAGTATTGTAAAGTCCCTTTCTGCTGAATGAATTTATACATGAGACGAACAGTGACGATAGAACCCCCCCCTCCCGTACCCGCTACCTCCCAAGGAAAATTTCATAATGCATACTGCCTTAAGGTCGTCTGTCGAGATGCGACCGACCATCAGCATTACAATGTACGTATTTTATGTCCCCATCGACACAATTTAGATGATTTAGGGGACAAGCTTCGACCCTGCCTGTCAGAACCTATCTGGGCTGCGAAAGAAACAACATCACATCAGAAAGACTGAGATCCTCGATTAAAATTCTTCCCATTTGGGAATCGAATTCAGGTCTTTTTCGTGAAAAGGTGGAGAGCCTTATCCTTACACCGTGACCACTGGTCTAATTAATGATCTTGATTGTTTGCTTTTAAGCACAAGGGGGCTGTCCCGAAAAATGCTGTTTTGAGAAGATCAAAGGTAAAAATTTTGCCCCTTGTTTATGTTCTTTAAAAGACAAGGAGACTTTTCTCTATAACCAAGCAAATATACACACCAATAAAACCAAACTTCTCCTATAGGTAGGACAAAGCCCACTTTTGGGCGACTAATTATGTCGATAGGTATGCACGTGTTTACAATAACAAAGTTGGGTTGTTTTTTTTCAATCTGATCTTTAGTTAGTTGGCCTGGTGTTCCTGATAGTCGGCGCGTGGACGTACCTGGACCGAGAAGATGTCCTCTACCTGAGCAAAGTCAACGACGACGCCACCTACTCTGACGTGGAACTTCCCGGTGAGCCCATGTGTTCTCTACTGTCATTTGGTCGCTTTTAAGGATAAGCAGGCTAACCCAAATTTCGGGGATTTCCAGAAATCTTGACCTACTCCAAAAGTGGGCATTGCCCTACCTATAGGAGAAGTTTAGTTTCATTGGTGCGTACCTTTGTTTGGTTATAAAGAAAACTCTCCTTGTCTTTTAAAGAAACTGAACAAGGGGCAAAAACTTTACCTTCGATTTTCTCAAAAGAGCATTTTTTCAGGATAGCCCCCTTGTACTTAAAAGCGACCATTTGAGTTTGTAGTTTGTATTCTCTTTTCATTATTTTGTTTTTTGGTTGTGTGTATATCGAAACCGGTTTGTGAGAGAGAGGGGGGTGGGAGAAAGG